TCCACTTGGACGTCTGGGGCCCCGCCTTGCGCCCTGGCCCTGAGCGAGAGAGTTTCTTTCTGGTGGTCGTTGATGACTACTCCCGCTACACTACAATGTTCCCCCTGGCAAAGAAGTCCGAGGTGACTTCTACGCGATCAGGTGGTTACTCACCACTGAGGACACTCGTGGTCGTTGTGTCAGTTGTCTTCACTCCGACCGTGGGGGTGAGTTTCGCTCTGGCATTCTCGTCGGATTCTGTCACGAGCAGGGCATTTGTCAGTCCTGGATGCTTCCAGAGTCACAGTAGAATGGGGTTGCTGAGCGCCACATAGGCTTGGTTATGGATATCGCACACACCTCTATGATTCACGCCCGTGCGCCCCATTTTCTGCTTGGCGCGTGTTCGCAACACCTCCGCGAACAAGATCTCGCCTCACGCCATTCCCTGTGTCTTGCTTGGTTTCCCCGGGTACTCCTCTGACTTCACCTTTTACCACCCTCCACTTTACCAGTTCTTTGACTCACATGACGTCCGTTTTGACGAGTCCGCTCCCTACTACACCCGGTACCCCTGTCGCGGTCTCCCGGTTCCTCCTCCCCCCCATTTCCTGGCTCCCACTCCCCCTCAGGCTCCTCAGGTACATCCCCCCCCCCTTGGTCCAGCCTCGTCAGGTGTGTCACACGCTACCCCCCCCCCCCCCCCCCCCCCCCCCCCCCTCGGTCGCCCCTCCGGTCTCGCCCCCTTCCCCACAGTCCTCCTCCCAGCCTCTGCAGCAGCCGTCAGCACTTCCCCCCCAGTCTACTGAGGACTTAGAGGGGACTGGTGTTGGTCGCGCGGACCTTGGCGGTGCTGCCCCTGGGGATGCTGGAGTTGGTGTTGAGAGTGTGCCTGCCCGGGAGCCTGGTGCTGAGGGTGCTGGAGTTGGAGCTGAGCCCGTGCCAGCAGAGGTTTATAGTCTTCCGGGAGCTCGTATTGGTGGTGCTGGCTCTGGTGGTGGTGCGACTGGTGCTTTGGAGAGCGGTCCTGGGGCTACCACCGCCCCAGACACTACTCCTCCCCCCCACCCCTACTTGACCCGGCACCAGGCCCGTGGTCGCAGTGCCCGTGAGGATCAGCTGGAGTTGGAGCGAGAGGAGAGGGAGTTGGAGCAGCAGCAGCTGGAGCTACAACGGGTGGAGGAGCAGCAATAGCAGGAGCAGCAGCAGCAGCCGTAGCTGGAGGAGCAGACGCAGCGGTAGCCGCAGCAGCAGGAGCAGCAGGAGCAACCGCAACTGGAGGAGCAGCGGTCGCAGCCGCAGCAGGAGCAGCAGCAGCTACCACCTCCTCCTCCTGTCTCTGGTCTTCGGACCCTCGGTCTTCCCTCTCCCTCTCCTCCCTCCTCCCCCTCTCCTCCCGTCTCCGGTCCCTCGCTTCCTCCTCCTGACCCCTCCCCATCTGTTTTCCCTCGTTCTCAGCCTCCGTTGTCCCCTCCTCTTTCTCACACTTGGCCTTCGCGTCGCTCTCCTCGTGCTCGTCCCTCGTCCCCTGTTCCCTTCTCTGACCTTCGTACTGCCCTGTTTAGCTCTAGTCCGCCTCGTTCGTCTCCATCTGTATCCTCCTGAGTCGGCCCTCACTGCTTACCTCTCTAATCCTGTCACTGACTACTACCGCACGTACCGACCTGTTCTCTCTCGTGTTCTCGCCTCTCTTGTTACGGACCCTCGTGCCTCTCTGTCCTCTGTCTCCGCTCTTACTGCCGCAGTCACTCAGTTTGCCTCTACTCGCCGCCTTGACTACGCCACCACTCTTGTGGCTGCTCCTCCTACCAGTCCTCTGGCCGTCGGGGGTGAGTCTGCCCTTGGCTGTGACGCCCTAGAGGACAGGCAGTTTGAGCTAGAGTTCCTGGCAACCGCTTCCCCTCATCTATGTGCCATGCTGCTCGCTCCTGAGGGAGACCCCGACGCCCTTGACAAACCGACTCCTCGCAATTACGCTGAGGCAGTGTCAAGGCCTTGGGCCTCTCAGTGGAGAGCTGCCATTGACTCAGAGATAGCCTCCTACAGATCCACAGGCACGATGTTTCCCCCCCTGTGAATCAGGGTCGATGGCATGTGGATCTTCAGGGTGAAGCGCCCACCAGGATCTCTTCCGGTCTTCAAGGCACGCTATGTGGCTAGAGGTTTCAGTCAGCGCGAGGGAGTTGACTTCTTTCAGACCTTCGTGCCTACCCCGAAGATAACCACTCTTCGGGTGTTACTGCACATAGCAGCACAGAGAAACTACGAGCTACACTCTCTCGACTTGTCCACTGCCTTCCTTCAGGGTAGCCTACACAAGGAGGTCTGGTTGCGTCGTCCCTCAGCTTTCACTAGCACTTTCCCTCCTAGGACCCAGTGGAGGCTGAGGCGACTGGTCTACAGTCTTCGTCAGGCTCCTCGTTAGTGGCACGACACCCTTCATTCTACCCTATCTGACCTCGGTTTCCAGCCGTCTTCTACCGACCCGTCGCTGTTTGTTCGTCGTGGCTCCACATCGTTCTTTGTACTGGTCTACGTCGACGACTTGGTTTTCGCCACAGCTGACAGGGTTGCTTTGGCTGACGTGTAGCGCGAACTGTAGAAGAGACACACGTGCACTGACCTTGATGAGCTGTGCCACTACCTTGGCCTGCAGATCACCAGGGACAGAGCCGCTCGCACCATTACACCTTTACAGTCACACATGGTGCAGCAGGTCCTTCAGCGGTTCGAGCTTCAGCACTCCACAGTACAGCGCACACCTCTTGCTGTTGACCACAGACTCACTGGTCCCTTTCCTGATGAGCCGTTTGAGCCTAGTGCCCGCTACGCAGAGCTTGTGGGTTGCCTCATGTACCTGATGACTTGTACTCGCCCGGACCTCGCCTACCTCTCAGCATCCCTGCTCGCTTTGTTGCGCCAGGGAGACACCGTCCTGTTTACTGGACCGCTGCTGTGAGGGTGGCGAAGTACCTAGCGACGACATCGGGCATGGGGCAGGTACTGGGAGGGACACTGCCGGTCGTCCTTATTAGTCACTGTGACTCTTCTTACACTGACGACGCTAAGACTCATAGGTCTACTTAGGGGTACTGCTCCAGCCTGGGCTTTGGAGGTGTTTCGTGGAGGTCAACGCGCTCCTCCTTAGTCTCGACCTCTACCGCTGAGGCTGAGATCTACGCTAGAGCCATGGCTGCACAGGAGATGCGTTGGTTGACCTTCTTGCTCACAGACCTTGGTGAGCAGCCGAGCTCTGCACCGACCTTGTTCACTGACAACAAGGCGGCAATTCTTTTGTGTCGGGAGCCTCGACTGGAGAGCAGAGTGAAGCACATCAACGTCAGTTACTTTCTTTTGCGAGAGTTACAGAGGCGTGGACAGGCTCGCTTTGACTTTGTGGAGTCCGAGGCCAACATTTTTCACCAAGGCCCTTCCGCCTTGTGACCACCACAGGTGTTGTGTGCAGTTAGGTCTCGTTGACACTGGTTCTCGTCTTGTGTAGACGTTGCCTTTTTTGTTGTACCCGTTGCTTATACACCTGTGAACTCTTGAACTGGCCTTGTGGCCATTCTGCTTGTGCTCGGAATGTGTGGTGACATTGTGATCCACCATGAGCTTTGTTTTTTTGTGACTGGTCTTGTCACCGTACTCTTTTTGTTTTTGCTTGACACACCTCACTTAGGCTATGGGGGTGTGTCAAATGTTGTAGCCTATAGTGAGGCTTGTCTTATGGTGTATAAATGTTAGGGTTAGGCATATGTGCCCCAACCCACATCAATGCAACAACAATTCAGTTTCTGACAGTTACCAACCGAACTGTGAGGCTGGGTCGCGTCGTGAACAGTGGCGGGAACAGTATCGAAACGAGTGTCCGAGCGATAACGGTTTACTGTTGGGTGCTGTTGGCAGGAACAGTGTTGTACGCGCTGAGCAGGAACGCGAAGTAAGGAAAAAGGATTTTTCCTTACACTAAATCAGATGTGACAAGGAGAATATAAGTTCTTACATAGTTACTTGAACACTCTAAAATCAAAATACCACAGCACGGATGGCCAAGTAGCCACAGGCTTGGTAGTCGGGCACCTTCTTCGCGCCTTCTCGATCGACCTTTTCCCACACGGCCCCACTCTCTCGCCGCTGTGTTTCCTTCCGCTTCTCCGTACAGCCTGTGGTGAGGAAATGACGGACCGCCCTGTTTTCTGGTTTCCAATTCTTTTCGGCAGTGGTTTTGACACCACCCTGCTTCGCGCTCGCGTCCGATTCCTTGAGGCAGTTTTTTCCGACATTTCCAATTTCTGTGACGAGGAAAATTATGAAGTCTACCTGGTTTCAGTTTAATGGCCACTGTAAAAAAATAAAACCCACTTGGATGGCTGGCCATTAGGGAGGCATCAGCCCTAAACACCTTGCCTCATGGTGTTTTGGGTTGATGCCTCCCTAATGGCCTGCCATCCAAGAGGGGTATATATATTTTTTGTTCCGCGCTGCTAATTTATAAAGCGACGCTTGATGTGGAATATCCCCATAAGTAGAAGAAATAATTATTAGTAGGACTCGGAAAGGGAATTAGCGACACTATCGGCCCGAAGGTATCGGACGCGAGCGCGAAGCGGGGTGGTGTCAAAACCACTGCCGAAAGGAATCGGAAACTGGAAAACAAGGCGCTTTGTCATTTCCTCGCCTGTGGTGGTGTGGCGCATCAGCAGTGCGGGCGAACCGCGCGCCACTGCGCCAAAGATCTATGACTGTGACACGTGCGACTGAACGCAGCGGTTTTTCGTGCCCCCGAAAGTTCCCCCCAACATACCTGGCCACTCAGCCCCACGCCTACAAAACCAAGCGATCTCTTCGCTTCACCATCCCACATGTATTTGTGCCTGATGTTTTTTGTGCTGGGTATCTTCGAAGCAGCCAGAAAGTGAGGCAAGGAACGTGCAATCTCGCATTGACTACCAAGTTCCTTGTTTCCATCCACTGCTTGCTTTCGCTCGCCCAAAATGCTACTCCCTCGCTCTACCAAAATGCTTCACGCAACCAAGAGTGTACCACGCGCAGCGCTGCTGTGTCTCGTCATTTCCATCGTGCTCTCCGCGCCGTGCGCCGTGCGCGGCGCGCCGCAGGGTCCGGCCGCGACGTCGATAGCGACGGCGCTGTCGAGCGCGGAATCGCCGTCGCAGTCGTTCAACGTATCGCTGCTCGTCCTCAACGCCACCGGGCTGCTCGCCAAGCTGCCCTCGCTCGCGCCGCTCACTCTCTTTGCGCCCACCGACGCCGCGTGGCGCGCCGCATTCCACGCGCTCGCCCTGCCGTATCTCAGCGGCTACATTCCCTTCCCCGGCGCCGCCGTCGGCGGCGAGACCCCTGGAAGCCCGGGCAGTCCGGAGAACAGCTCGGGCAGCGCGGGCAGTTCGGACGCCGCCAATCCCGGTGGCATCGCACAGCCGGCCCCAGCGCCCGGTGTTGCCCCCGCTGCGGGAGGCGCTAGCGGCGGGGCGAGCGCGGCGATGATTCCCGGCCTTCCGCAAGTTGACTTGCCGCTGCCCGGCGTTCCCAGCGTGGCGATTCCCGGGATTCCCGGCGGGTCAGACAGATTAAATTCGACAATACCTGTGGATAACATGACGATTCCCATGCCCGATCTCAATATGACCATGCCCGATCTCAATATGACCATGCCCGATTTCAACTCGACCTTTCCCAATATAAACATGTCCATGAACAACCCGTTGACTTTCGACCCGCTTCTCGCCGCATTAAGCGCCGTGTTTTCCGGCGACGGGACGCCCGCGTCGCTGGCGGCGCTGGCGAAGGAGCGGCCCAAGGCGCTGAAGGCTCTGTCGGAGCTGCTCGCGTACCACGTGGCGACGACGGCGCTGAACGCGGCGGCCATCGCGGCGCTGAACGCGGCGGCCATCGCGGCGCAGTTCACGGTGGATGCGGGCAACCTGACGACGGTGAACGGACAGGGGCTGTGGATCAACTTCAATAAGAGCGAGTCGGCCGCGCTGCTCAACGCGTACTCGCCGGCGCAGCGCGCGCTTATCAGCCAGGGGATCAGCGTGGGGTATGACGGGACCGTCTACTACCCAAACGGCACCACCGTCGCCGCCAACGGCACCGTCATCTTTGACCCCGCGACGAGCCCCATAGCCGTGGACTCGGAGGGTAACACGTTCTTCGCAAACGGTACCGTCGTCGGCGCCAATGGCACCGTCGTGAGCACCAACGGCACCCTTGCAACCAACGGCACTGCCATCGCCATCGACGGGCCGGGCCTCCCCCTGCCCCCCACCGTCTCGTCGCCCCCCTCCAACGGCGACGGCTCCGTAGCACCGCGCGGCGTGGCTGGCGCGCAGATGATGATGGAACCCGCCCCCTTGATGGGCGGCGGCCCCGCCGATATGCCCCCCGCCACCAACATGCCCGCCCCCGCTGATGTGCCCCCCGTCACCGCCACGCCCGCCCCCGCCGACATGCCCCCCAACATCCTGGTGGACCCGATTCCGGGGGTCATGGGCGGGTGGGGCATGGGGGGCGACTGGGGCAACTGGAGCACGGAAGTGCAGCAGCAGTGGTGGAGGAATGCGACTGAGTGGATGAATAAGGTCGTGCCGTGGTTCAACGTGACTGCCAGCGAGTACCTCGCGTGGCTCAACTCATCTTTCTACGCCTGGGCGGCAGGCTCTGATGCCATGTGGGAGCAGGCTGGCAGCGACATGAAGGTGGCTCGGGTGGTGCGGGCTGATCTGATGGACAGCGCTGGCATGGTGGTGCATGGCGTCGATGGCGTGCTCTTCCCCCACTACAGGGATATGCCTGTGTTTGACAAGGGCGGCGGGGGCGGGGGAGAGGGTGACGTGCCTATGCCCATCGCCATGCCTGTGGTGGCGCCTGGTGGCGTTGCTAACGGCAGCACGAACGGCGCGGGTACGAATGGCACTGCGACTGGCGGGCAGTCCGACGACAGTGCTGCGGGGGGTGCTGGTGCTCCTGCTGCAGCTGGGTCTAGCAGCAGCAGCAACAGCAGCAGTGGTGGGCAGGATGCATCTAAGAGTGCGGCGAGTGGCACGCCAGCACCACCTACTGGGTCACCCGCTGCGGGTAAATCACAGAGCAAGGCTGCTGCAGGTGAGCGCTGCCTCCTCCACTGTCGTCTCCCTTTCCCCCCCCCTCATTTCTTGCCGCTGACTCTCCCTTTTCCTCTCTACGTGTGTGTGCCTCTGCTGTGTGCCTTCAACCCTCGTGTTTAACATTCCCCAATTTCTTCGATTTGTGTGTGTGCTGTGTGCAGTCCCCCTCCTCTTGACTGCTGCGCTCTCCCTCGTGGCTCTGCTATAGCCTACTTGCTCATATTGCTACGACTATCCACCACAAACCTGTCATCCCTCTTGCTTGTAGGTTTTAGCCCTCTACTTCGAGGCATTTCTTTGTATTTATTGCTGGTTGCCCTCTAGTTTTTTTCCTCCAGCCCTGTAAGCAGTGGCATGTTATGGATAGGCCTTGTTTGTGTTGTGTAGATAGGAATATACCGGTATGTTAAAATCATATTAGATCTATAGACCTACCATAGCTCGTTTGCACCCTGTGCCGAGCTTCTGGGTGTTGCAACATCACACAATCTCAAATGAATAAAATGGATTGGCGAGGAACAAGCTTATGGGAAAAACCATCTGATGAACAACACAATACCACTTTCTGGAGGACAGGGAGGCAATAGTCAGGCAAACGCCGAGCATGGCGCAGCGTAGTACAGGTTGTGGTAGAACACGACCGAACCTGCATGGCTTGCCCAACTCCTGGACTCACATCTCAATGTCGAGAGGGACTGATCTAAAGCCCTTGTGAGTTCGTTTTCTTTCTTGAAGCACTATGAGAAGAGCGGCGACAGCAACAACAAGAGCAAGACTGATGGTGGCAGCATTTGGCATGGAGCGAGCAGCTGTGGTCGTGGGAGGAGAGGGTGGGAAAGCTGTGTGGGAGGGCTGAGCTGTCGCCTGAGAAGCAGCTGGCGGGGTGGTGGGCGCTGATACTGCAGTGTGGACAGGGATGGATGCACAGTGCATGTCGCATGTTGCATGTTGATCGATGCATGCTGCATGCTTAATAGATGCATGTACCGTGTTACACACACAAGAAAGCCAGCTGAATGTTCCATACGATGTCGGCATGTGCATGCACTGCAACGCAACCCTGACCCCTCACACCACACACTCCATTTATCCATGCACTAACCACCTGTGTATACATTCTGATCACATCACACTCTGTTGAAGGTGGTGTGGCAGCACTCCCATGTTCATATCTTCGCTCTCAAGGCAGCACAGGTACTTACATGCACGGGGCGTGCAGGAGGAGCAGAAGGAGAGGCAGACGGTGCAGAAGGAGGAGGTGTTGCTCTGCTGCTGCCCACACTCGCTGCCGTCTGCAGGACAGGTCAGCCCCGAGCTAGTGAGGTTCCTGGGTGCGAGGAAGAGGGGGGGGGAGGGAGAACGGAGCCAGGAGCAGGGAGAAGGGAGAAATGGAGAAAATGACAAGGGAGAAAATGAAACAGATGGAAGAAAGGAGCAAGTGATAGAGAGAGGAGCAAGGGAGAAGGAAACAAGGTAGAATGGAGCACGGGAGAAGGGAACAAGAGAATGGAGCAAGGGAGAAGGGGAGCAGACATTGAGGGAGAAGGGATCAAGCGAGCAAGGGAGGAGATGGCGTGTGGTGCAGTGGGGCATGGCACATGTTGCTGGCATGGTGTTGCGACGTGTCACACAGCTGCTGCTATGCCACTGTGCTTGCAGTTGGGGACTTACATCCGGTGCCATGGCATGGCATCAATGAAGGTCAGTGGGATGGAGCCTGAGAGCTTGTTAAAACTCAGATCACTACCATGGGGGGTGGGGCACGGGTGGAGGGCAAGAGCAGGCAAATCAGGCAGGCAGTGAGACCTGAAAACAACCCTTTACGACGGATGAGTGGAGAGAAAGGGAGGGAAAAGGAAAAAAAAAAAGGGGGAGAGAGGGAGGGAAACAAGGACCATGGGGGCAATTGATTTTGTCCGTTGGGGCCATATTGATTCGCGACGAGGCCCAGCCGTGCGACTTCTGAGTGGCGTCCACATCAAGGCAAAGCTCACATTTGACCTCTGACATCTTCAAAGCAGGTAGGCAAGGGCCCCTCAAGATCGTTGTGACCCAGCTTCCTGAGACAAACCCAGTTTGGGGGCACATGCATGTCAAAGATGGAAAGGGGGGGGAAGGAGGGAACAAGCAGATGGTAGAATAGTAGTGGTATGAGACCCTGTCAAGTACAGTGAACCATGGGGTCGTCCTTGCATGCCATGCATACCATGGTTGGCCAGTGGTCACATGCCCCATGCCATGGTTGGCCACCATCACCCACGTCGTAGGGGTGAACTGATTTGTTTTCTGGCGCTGTGCTGTGTGGCGAGGACCTTGGGTGCAAAGACACGCTATGGTATTGTCTCGCTCGCGCACAATGCGATGCACGTAGTAACCGAGCGACCTTCCTCCCCATGCCTACCCTGGACGCATGCAGCCTTGTGTGCATCCACGCAACACCCTGCAAGCATCCCTTTACACTCAACATGTTCTTGCCTTATCGCTGGTAAAACACCAGGGAATGAGAGGCATAACAGGTTGGTTGCCGCCAGAGTGACAGGGGAAACCTAGATTGCAAGTCACTTGTGAGAAATCTCTAAGTGAAACTCACCAGAACTGGCTTGCTAACGACTACCGATCCGCCTAACCCACAGTTTGCTGGCAGGCAACGAGTCGTGACGGGGCTTGACACGTGTCCAGCAAGGTGGTGAGCCCGACAAGCCACTTAGCCTGACGAGCCGGTGAGGCACCGGTTATTCAAGCTGGCTTGAGTTGCCTCACCATGCTGCATTATCTCCGGCCTCCTGCTGATGTTCACTTGGCATCTCACCAGAAGATCCTTCGATAGCATACCACACGGTGCCTCCCTCTAGTCTGCTGCAGCCCATGACTCTCACTGGCTCACAATAATTCTGGAATGGAGCCAAGGGCAGTAGGCAAGGAGCCCGAGAGGTGGTTGTACGAGAGGTCCCTGCAGGGAGGCACGCACATGGACACATGGCAGGGCAGACGGGCAGACGGGCAGACGGGCAGACGGGCAGACGGGCAGACGGGCAGACGGGCAGACAGGCGGGCGGGTGGGCAGGCGGGCGAGAGATGCAGGCCGCACGGGTTATGAAGAGGGGACAACAGATTCCCAGTAGAGCTGATTTTCCAAACCTATCCGGCCTTCAAACATTGTTGAATGGTGCACTTGTGACGTGAGATTGCAGCAGCAAGGATAACCAGTCAGAGCATAGAGATGGATGGTGTATGAGGCTCAGCACTGACACGCCCTCACAAGCACTTGTCACAAGCACTGACAGGGAGGAGAGCGGCAAGGAGTCGAGGGCAGGGATGGTGCCCGAGAGCATGTTGGAGAACAGGCTCCTGTGCCATGCCGTGCCAGCCATGTGGTGCCATGTGGTGTGGGACATGGGGGGACGGAAGGGAGGGGGAGGGGGTGGGGGAGGGATCGATGCAGGGGGAGCGGCCAGAGACGGATCAAGGAATGAAGGGGCGAAGGGTACGACGGGAAAGGGGAAGGGAAGAGGGGCAGAAGGAGAGTTCCAAACACGCGAGTGCAAGTGGGTGTGTAGGTGGGAGGAGACGAGTGGGGCTCACAGGTAGGTGAGGGGAAGGTGGGCAATGGCAGCAGGTATGGTCCCCGAGATGTTGTTGTAGTAGAGCTCTCTGTTGCCCGCACGGGGACAGGGGAGGGCACACAGGTATAGATGGGACGAAACAGGAATTGAATCAATAGCACTGTCAAATTTAGTCAGTCATTGTGGATTTGTCATTGCGGATTTGTCATTGCAGATTTGTCATTGCGGATTTGTGATTGCGGATTTGTGATTGCGGATTTGTGATTGCGGATTTGTGATTGCGGATTTGTCATTGCGGATTTGCCATTGTGGAGTTGTCATTGTGGATTGCTGCTTCATCGCTTACCCACCATCCATCGCTTAGCCCGCATTGGATGATCATTGTGGATTGGTGCATGAATGGATACCCTCGTAGAGTTGATGCCAACGAGGGCGAAGGGAAGCAGGCGAAGAGTGAGCAATGAGAAAGTGGAAAGGAGGCAGACAGAGAGAGCAGAGAGGGAGCCGTACAGGTCAGTGAGGGCAGTGAGGGCGGAGATGGTGGAGGGGATAGAGCCAGTGAAGCCATTCAGACCGGCCCGCCTGGAGGAGGGAGAGGGGGGGCGAGAGAAGGAATGAGCGCACTGCTGGCTGGTAAGCAAGGGGGTGGGGCTGGGTGGGTCACAGGGCTATGGCAAGAATGAAAGAATGGAACAGTGGGAGAATGCACTGTGAATGCTCGGCTCTACAGCTCAAAGGTGCTACACCACGATGGCGTGCTCGTGACCCAGTGATGGCTCACACAGTCTCCAGTCCTGTGAGCGCCATCCAGTCGGTGGGGAATGGTGCAGAACGGTGGACGCTAAAGTTGCCGGTGACATCCCTGCAGAGCGGTAAAGGGCAGGAGGGTTGGGGGAGGCAAGGGTCACTTCAGTCAGTGGAGAGGCATGCGGGAGGGAGCAGTGCACGTGGCATCACCGTAAGCAGCGGCAGCGCATTGCCTTATCCGACTCAATCACAAATCACGATGCACACGAGGTGGTACACATGCGGAAGGTGCAGAGAGAATGCTGGGTCCGTGCCTCTGGTGCCCGTGAGAGGGGCGAGCAGCTGTAGGCGAGGCTAGTGAGGTGCGGAAGAGAAGGACGCTGGGGTGCAGTGCAGAGGCGCAGGACGGTGGGGGGAAGGCACGTGTGGTGGCACGTGTGGTGGTACGCACAGGTATTTGAGAGAAGAGAGCATGGCAATCCATGAGGGGAGGCTGGTGGCTGGGAGGAACTGGATGTCCCTGCGTGAAAGGAAGGAGGGGGCGAGAACGAGACAGAGGAGAGACATAGAGGAGGGAGATAGAGGAGGGACATAGAGGAGGGAGATAGGAGGGACATAGAGGAGGGAGATGGAGGAGAACAAAACAATTTGCGGCAGCAACATAAAGCAAGGGGGAGACGCGTGCATACAAAAACAATGACTGTGAGCTTACAGGTGTGTGAGAAGAGTGAGGGTGGAGAGAGCTGGCGGGAGCGGCCCGGGTGTAAGGTAAAGATTTCGAAGAGCGCTGAGGGGAATGGAGATGGGGGGAGCATAGGACACGCGCAGAGAGTTGAGGAAGGGCGGGCAAGGGGGTGATGGTAGGACAGGGGACAGGTGCACGGGCGAGGATGGGAGGGTTGTGAGGAGTGCTTCCCAAGCCAGTGTGCTTCCCAAGCCAGTGTGCTTCCCAAGCCAGTGTGCTTCCCAAGCCAGTGTGCTTCCCAAGCCAGTGTGCTTGTCAAGTGTTGGCAGAGCGAGAGGGGAAGGCGGAGAGGGATGAGTGAAGGGGGAGGGGAAGAGGGGCGTACAGGTGCTGGAGGCGAGTGAGCGGGGCGAGAGAGAAGAGGTGGGCCATGGGGGCTTGCAGCACAGGAGTCTTATAGGTAGCTGTAATGGAGAGAATGCTGGTGTGAGGGAGGGCACACAGCAGAGCCAAGGGAGACAGAGGAGCGTCATTTGCATGTGGGCCATGATGGACTGTGCTGTCAGCACCCAGAAGTGGCAGGCTGTATGTATGTGTGACATGGGCGGTAGGCAGGGGTGCAGCAGCCGCAATGACAGCGCACGCACTGCATCGGCGCACGGCATTCGAAGGAGCAACAGGCGGGAATGGGGATACAATACAAGTATATCTGGCGGCACAGAAGCAGTAATCACAGCAGGGAGCAGAGCAGCAGCAGCAGCGGGCATGCCGTGGCATGGCATGCATGGCAAGACAAACCATGCGTGCGCTCACAGCGTCAGCTGATAGCAAGTGCGCACTGGTCCTCCTCTGACTGCAGGGGCAGCATCGCCACAGGAGAAAAGGCAGCAGTCTGCGTGCATGCATTGCCATGCCATGCCATGTGATGCCATGCCATGCCATGCCATGCCATGCCATGCCATGCCATGCCATGCCATGCCATGCCATGCCATGCCATGCCAGCCATGCCATGCCATGCTATGCCATGCCATGCCAGGCCATGCCACGCCATGCCACGCCATGCCATGCCATGCCACGCCATGCCACGCCATGCCATGCCATGCCGTTCCCTGGCATGGCATGCAGTGGAATGTGAGGTGCAGGTGGCCCGTGAGTCTCACTCAGTGGGATCATCTTGCTGGAAGTCATTGAGCCATGTGAAGTCCCCGGGCCACAGGTACACTGGATCGCCAACGGACCTGCGCGAGGGAGGGAGGCGCGTGCAGGAGAGGAGCTGCCTTTGAGTCCACTCAGAAGCTAGAGGCGTGTGTGTGACGTGCTGGCGCCACCAACAGTGCAGTAGAAACATCCCTTTACACTGTCATGGTTTTAATTGCTAATTAGCGTAGGCAGTGACAATATAAAACCATGACAGATTACAGTAGTGAGTAGAGTTACAAATGAGGTCAAGGAAGCCGTGCAGTCAAGGCGGGGGAAACGAGGAGACGTAGCGAAAGTAGGTATCCGTTGTGGAGCAACGGTAACCCGACCCCACTACTTAGGCAAGCAACCGAAGTAGGTTCAATTGCTTGCTTGTTTGTTTCCACTCTTAGCAAAAAGACCTGTTCCTAGCTACTCCCTGGTGCTGCTTTCGCAGAGGAGCCAACCACAGCAAGCCCAAGTTGATTGTTGCCCCCAAGTGTGGTCGTCAGTCAGCCGAGTTAGGTCTTCCTAGCCCAGATCTAGTGGCTAGGGACTTACAACAAACAAGCAAGGAAGCGACCCGCTGTCGCCACGGAGTTAGTATGACCGATAGGTTTAAACTACGATCCGGACAGAGCTATCGTAGAGAAGAAAGTCTCGCGGAGCCAAGCTGGCGCGCCGCTACCGCCATCATCCAGGAAGGAGAAACTGCGACCGAAGCGTCGCGCTCGTCTCTGCCAAGAACTGCGGCCTACCGCACCCCGCATCAACGCGAACGGGACCGACAGGAGGAGATGGAGCCGCGGCGCACCGTCGCGTCAGATCCAGGAGAAACGCCACACGATATGTGATGGGCACGTGAAGCGCGGGCGCGATGGGAGCGGAGGCCCGCGACTACCTCCCCGAGAGCGATGCCGGGGATGGAGACAGACCGGACGCAGGTGCACGCGCCTTGGCTGCGCCGCCAGCCAGACAGCGGTCTGCAGACGCCGCCGAATCAGGAAATCGTGGCTAGTCGATCAGCGGAGTTACCAGCGGCTATGGCGCTCCCTCCCCGTCCGAATGAAAAAAGGTGGCAGGGCGGCGCTCTCCCAAAACTAGAAGTGGCCGAGCGATTCACCGGGATTCCCGGAGTGGGCCCTACCTTGAAGAACTACTTGATGCAGCTCGAGACGGTGCAGTACTGCTGGGAACGGGACGGACTGGACCCTGCCGAGTTCTTCAGACGGATGGTAGTGACATTGGCGGGCGAAGCGGAGACTTTTTACCGGATGACACGGAGTGAAGTGCTCGAGGAATGGGAATGCGGTGAGACCGACAATCCGACCACGCGCTTCATTGAACTACTAAAGAAAGAGTTCCTGGGGCAGACCAAAGCGAGGGTGGAAGAGTTCCGCGAGTTCCGCCGGGGAAGGGATGAATCCCTGCTGGCCTACTATTGCAGGTTGAGGGAGCTGGCCGAGGACTTGGAGAGTAGCGACGAACGACTGCTCGTACGCAAGTTCGTCAGGGGCTTGGAGGAAGACCTGCGGAACGTGGTGCGGAACACGGTATATGGCGTCGGTGCGGACATTACGCTGAAGGAAGTGTATGGACTGGCGAAACGTACAGAGCACGCGCAACGGATGCTGGATTTGGAGGATGGAGAGACCCGTCCCAAAGCGAAGTCCTCGTGGGCAGCGGCAGCGCTGGTGGAAACGGCGCAGGGAGGAGCGCCCCGAACAGAGGGACGGCGGTGTCACGAATGCGGAGAACTGGGTCATCTGAAGCGTGACTGCCCGAAGCTGCCGGTGTGCGGGAACTGCGGGAAAAAGGGGCATAAAGAAGACGCCTTCTACAGCCGTCGCCGCTTGGAAGAGAACCCGAGTAAGGAGGAGTTGCAAGCGGAGATTAAGAAGCTGCAATTGAAGTTGGAAGCAAAGCCGAGAGTCGAGCCGAAAGCTCGGGCCATGCTCGAATACGAAGAGATTGCGGAGGACGAGGAAGGAGAAGCCGAGTACCTGCCTACCAGCGGCTTTATGGCGCTCCCCAGAGAGAGGGGGGAAATAGACCTGCGGCCTCGGGGAAGTCAGTCGACCGAAAGCCGCTCCAGCCGCGTGAGAGGACCGAGAGGTAACTTCCACGAGGGGAGTAGTACCTCGGAGTTGCGCCGCCATCCTAACGAGCGGTTGGTGTGCCAGGCGTCTGTGCTGATCGCGGAAAAGGGGAGCCTGACCGTAGGGGGGCTGCCCGTCGGACAGGCGATCGTAGACACTGGCGCTCACAACGTGCTGATCGGACGGGGCCTAGCGAAGCAGCTGAAGCTGGACCTGCCGGGGAGGTTGGTACAGAGGGGGATCCTGCTCATGACCGCTGAAGGGGGTGAGCCGAAATGGATGCCGCGGACCGTCAGGCCGATTGAAATCGTACTGCTCCCAGGGACGGAGAAAGAATGCTGCATCCGCGGGACTTGCGGAGTATCGGAGTCGGAAGACTACGACGTGTTGTTGGGCATGGACCTGTTGTACCGAGTGGGCGCCACCATTTGTACCTGGAAAGAGAAAGTGCTGTACCAAGTACACTATTGGGATCCAGCCAGCTCGGTCGGAACCTTGCCCGTGAAGTTCGTCAGGCAAGAGCCGCGGGAGGCCTACGGGGCGCGACCTGCTGACTTGAGCCCTGCGCTGGATGACTGGAGCTGGGAGAAATATGCAGAGGAGTACGAACGCCGCATCGAGAGGAGACAACAGGGGAGAGAGCCGCCGTCTCTGAAGGAGAGGATCTCCAGGCTATGGACGCTCGAGGGGTCGGTGTGTGTGATGGAGCTCTACGGAGGCATCGGCACCGGGTTGGCGGCAGTGCTGAAGGCGGGATGCAGAGTGCGGAAATGGATTCATGTGGAACGGAACCCAGTGGTGCGGCGGATGGCTCAGCATCACGCACGGCTGCTACTGGAAGAGTACCCGGAGCAGATAGCGGAGTCTGCTATCCCAGCCGAGGATGAAGAAGTGGTGGATGACGTGAGGACCATTACGGTGGAGAAACTGGAGCAGTGGGGGCAGATCGACGTCATCATCGCGGGATGGGAATGTCAAGGGTACTCGCGTGCAGGAGAGGGGATGGGGATGGAAGATATCCGGGGGGCCTCTTTCAGGGATCTGAAGCGGGTATTGGAGATGGTCCAGAACCGGCAGGGGGAAGTGTTGTACATTCTGGAAAACGTGGACTTCGCCGAGGATTGCCGGGAACACGTGAGGAGGGCGTTTGCGGAGGTGGAGGCGGCCGTCGGCAGGGGGCAGGCGGTTGACGCAGCGCAGTTAGGGTCCAGGGCCCACCGACCGAGAAGGTACTGGCAGAACGGGATCTCGGACGCGAGCCAGCGTCACGCGCTCGCGCAGATGCAACGGCCCGAACCCAGGCTGGTCAGTGACATCCTGGGTCCCAACCGGCTGCCCGCACCCGTCACCACTCCTGACCATCCGTCACAATATCAGTGCAACGTGCCAGGGAAGCCGAGGCAGGCGCTGCCTACGCTCGTGTCCTACGTGGATGCGTACGGGTTCGTGATGGAGGGGGACCTGCCAGGTCCGGGAATGATCTACGATGTAGTGGGGAAGCGGTGGGAGCAACCTACAGCTGCCGAACGGGAGTTAGCCATGGGCCACAGCCTGGGAGCCACCGCCCATCCTCGAGTGACGGAGCCCCAGAGACGCGCGGCGCTGGGCCGAGCTATGGATTTGAACGTCATGGCGTGGCTAGTGGAGACTATCCGCATGCACTTGAAGCGGAAGGAGCTGCAACGCGGCATAGAGGTCAGCGAGATGTACCAGGAGGAGGAGGAGGCTGAGATGAAGCGGCGCCAACTGCAAGCGATAGAAGAACAGGAAGAGGCGCGGATTTTAGAAGGATGGGCCTACATGGCCGTGGGAGTAACGGAGAGAGGTGCGGATCAGGGGGTGCTGCCTCCGGACGGAGAACTGCCAGCCCCCGCGGAGAGGCCAAGTCAGGAAAGGGGCCCGGATGACGACTGGCCCATTGGCACAGGAATGGGGGCAGAAGCGGCGCGAGCGTTGCAGGAGGTGCTGAGGATGCACCGGCAGACGTTCGCTTATACCCTGCAAGAGCTGGGCCAGTGCAACACGCATCAGATGCAAGTGAAACTGACGACAGAAGTCCCCATATACCAGAGGAAACGGAGGATGAGTCCCGGGGACCTAGATATCTGCAGGGAGAAGTGTGCCGAGCTATTGGCTGCGGGCCTCATCCAGATTTCGGACAGTGACTATGCAGCAGCAACGGTGGTGGCTGCACGGAAAGATCTCACGGGGGAAGTGTCGGCCAGGAGGATGTGTGGGGACTACCGAGGGCTTAACAAAGTGACGGTGGCGGATCGGTACCCCATGCAATCAGCCGAGGAGATATTCGACAGGCTGCAGGGGGCGGTAGTGTTCAGCACGCTGGATCTCCGCCAGGGGTTCAACCAGATACCAATTCGGGAGGAGGACCGCAAGAAGACAGCCTTCCATGGGCCGGATGGATTACACGAGTGGAAGTTCATGCCCTTCGGCATGAAGAACGCGCCGGCTTTGTTCCAGAGGGTGATGGATGCAGTGCTGAGAAATGTCCCCGCGGCAGCCTGCTACATAGACGACGTGGTGGTGTTCAGCGCCTCCGATGAGCAGCACGTGAAGGACGTGAGCGACACGCTGGCGGCTATACGAGATGCAGGACTGACCTGCCATCCGAAGAAGTGCAGTTTTGGCAACAGCACCGTGAAGTATCTAGGGTTCGAGGTACAAGGGGGGCGACTGAGCATCCAACAGGCGAAAGTGGAGGTGCTGGACCGAGTCCCCGCCCCTAAGGATCGTAGCACGCTGCGGGCGGTGCTAGGCTTCCTCAACTACTACCGCAAGTTTGTACCTAACTTCAGTCGCACGGCCGCAGTATTGAACAAGCTGTTGAGAGAGGAGCAGCCATGGCAGTGGGGAGAGGCGGAGCAGGGGGCATTCAAAGCCCTACTGAAGGCTGTGAAGACCGGGACAGTGCTCACTCTGCCCAGCAAAGAGTATCCTTTCACGCTCTACACGGACTGGAGCAGTGCCGGCATGGGAGGTATCCTATGTCAAGAACGGGAAGGACAGGAGATGGTAGTGGCGTTTGCGAGCAGGAGCTGCAACCCCGCAGAAGCCAACTACAGCTCCTATGAGGGGGAAGGGCTAGCGGCGGTGTGGGCCATCACTCATTTCCGGGTATACCTGCAAGGGAGACCGTTCACGTTAGTCACAGACCATCAACCTCTGACCTGGCTGATGACTAACCAGGCTCTGACAGGGAGGAATGCCCGATGGGCGATGAGATTGCAGGAGTACGAGTTCACGATTCGGCACCGAGCGGGGAAAACGTTGCAGCACGTGGACGGGCTCTCCCGGAACCCGCCCCCTACTAGCCCAGAGGCGTGCTTGGTGGCAATGGCCCGCGAGATTGACGGAGAAGGAGCGAAGCAGCAGGCACAACGAGGAGCTGACGACATCTGGGAAGATGACGAGACCCTGAGGTGGATCCAGGGAAAGACGTCCGAGGCAGAGACAGTGAGTGAGAGAGCCAGGGCCAGAGGGCTGCATTATCGGTGGTTCCAAGGTCAACTGCAGAAGACTACCAAGGAAGGGTGGAAGCTAGTCCCTAGGCGGGAAGAGCGGGAGGAGATAATCGCGAAGGTGCATCGGCAGTTGGGGCATTACGGCAGCCTGCGGACAAGCCAGCTGATAGAGACGGGCTGGTGGTGGGCAGGCATGAGAGGAGACATCAAAGCTTGGGTGAGCTCGTGCGAGCTATGCAGCCGGAACAAAGCAGAGCTCGAGAAGGGAAGGGAGGAGCTTCAGTCTTTACCTATCCGGGGAATAGGGTTTCGTTGGTCCCTAGATCTGGCAGGAGAGATGCCGCTCAGCCGGAGGGGGAAGAGGTTCATTCTGATCATGATTGAGCACGGCAGCAAATGGGTGGAAGTCAAGGCCCTGCCGAGCAAGAGTTCAGCAAAGATGGCCGAGGCATTCGAGGAGCAAGTGCTGACACGCTTCGGAGCCTGCGGAGAAGTACTAACGGACCAAGGCACTGAGTTTTTGGGTGAATTCGAGAATTTGCTGAAGGCGAGTGGCATTACTCACCGGCGGACCTCACGGTACCATCCGCAGAGCGACGGCCTGACAGAGAGGCTCGTGCAGACCATGAAGCGGGGACTAAGGGCATACGGAGAGACGTTCAAGCGAGATTGGGATGCAAGGCTACCCTGGGTGGCGGCGGGATACCGATTCAGTAAGCAAGCGGCCCTGAAAGACTTCTCCCCTTACTACCTGCTGCTGGGAAGGGAACCCATCTTACCGGTTGATGCACCACGGCTCTTGACGGGGGTGGTCAGGGCCGACACAGCGGAGGCGTGGGTGGGGTTAGCTGAGGCGCGGGCGCGGTACCTGCGGGAGATGCTGCCAGCGGCACTCGAGAACCTGCAAGTGGCACAGCTCAGGGATGCCCAGCGATACAAACGGAGGAGAGAAGGGCAGGCAGAACAAAAGGGGCCACAGCTGGGGGTGGGAGAGGAAGTGTATGTTAAGCAGGCAAGGCAGGACATGCTGGACATAGGACTGAGCGTCGAGCGGTGGAGAGTGAAAGAATTGAAAGATTCAGGAGTGGTGGTGCTGGTCGGAGAGAATGGACAGGAGAAGCGGGACCATCGGACGAACGTGGCGCGGGCCAGGCCTCCTACAATGGCCCCAGCAGTAAGGAGGAGCCTCAGGCAGGAGAAGGGAGGGCAGCCTTTCTACCAGGACGTCCATCGGCGACAAGGGACTGGGCCAGTGCCGAGGAGGGGGCAAGTGGGAAAGGCAGAGCCCAAGCCCCAAGGCTTGGGGAGGGAACTGAGGAACTTGATGGGTTGAGGAGACATAGCAAGGAGGCCTGGAGGACAGCACAGACACACGAAGGCAGAGGAGAAGAAAGATTCCGACAGCTGTCATGGTTTTAATTGCTAATTAGCGTAGGCAGTGACAATATAAAACCATGACAGATTACAGTAGTGAGTAGAGTTACAAATGAGGTCAAGGAAGCCGTGCAGTCAAGGCGGGGGAAACGAGGAGACGTAGCGAAAGTAGGTATCCGTTGTGGAGCAACGGTAACCCGACCCCACTACTTAGGCAAGCAACCGAAGTAGGTTCAATTGCTTGCTTGTTTGTTTCCACTCTTAGCAAAAAGACCTGTTCCTAGCTACTCCCTGGTGCTGCTTTCGCAGAGGAGCCAACCACAGCAAGCCCAAGTTGATTGTTGCCCCCGAGTGTGGTCGTCAGTCAGCCGAGTTAGGTCTTCCTAGCCCAGATCTAGTGGCTAGGGACTTAGTGGGAAAGGCAGAGCCCAAGCCCCAAGGCTTGGGGAGGGAACTGAGGAACTTGATGGGTTGAGGAGACATAGCAAGGAGGCCTGGAGGACATCACAGACACACGAAGGTAGAGGAGAAGAAAGATTCCGACAACACGAAATGTCATTTCCTTGCAAACAAACTCCAGCAGGATCCCTTGTGACTCGTAACTGTCAGCATTGGATTAAATACAATTGGACCAAATACTACTCAACAACTACTCAATCACAACTCTTGATCTGCTGCTCGTATTTGTATGTACACCGTTCGGGCAGTGGGAGAGTGAGGGGGTACAGGAAGGTGAGTGCAGTGAGGCGACTGAAGGTGGAGGGAAGCCATCCCGCAATGCTGACGCCTGATAAATCACTGGGGTAGGTAGGAATCAGCATGCATGCACACATATTTGAACATGCATCAAACGATTGCAGGCACACGAACACATGTGTGTGACACAATCTTTCATTCTTTCCTTCTTAGGAGGGAGAGAGTGTTTGGGTGAACCCCCCCCCCCAAAAAAAAAGCAATTTCCTTTCTCATGGCACAAGAGAAGGCAGTGGGAGAAGCAAAGGTGGTCATGAAGGAGAGAGCAGTCCAGTTCATTACGCCCGTCCCCACGTGCACTTGTGATCCTCTTGTCACATCCGCATTGCAGAACCACCCCCTCTTCTCACAGGTGCTGGAGAGCGGTAGCATTGCCGATGGAAGCAGGGATTTCCCCATCAAATCCAGAGAAGCGCAGGTCTCTGCCATGGGCCGTGGTGGGCGAGAGGGGTGGTGGGCGAGAGGGGTGGTGGGCGAGAGGGGTGGTGGCGGAGAGGGATGGTGGGCGAGAGGGGTGGTGGACCAGATTGGTAGAGGCTGCATGTGAGATAGATAGGGCGTGTGAGAGCATGGCGGAGGAGGGGTGGACCGTGAAATCGAGAGGGATGAGGCCCACAGAGGCTCAAGGCGAAGAACGAGTTACGACTATGCTCAACTGTAAACCAAGTATGAGTTGAGACGAATGATGAGTTCAGTGAGTGGATGAGGGCAGAAAGGGTGACGACGATGCAGGCAGGAGAGGTGAGGCGTACACATATTGCAGGCGGGGGAAGTGGCCGAGCATTTCCAGGTTGCCAGATAATCCCCACCAGGGGAAGGGAAGTCCCTGCAGAGGAGGCGTGGGCGAGGGGAGGGCGGTCGGGCAGCAGGCAGCGAGGAGAACAGCTGATGTCCTGTGTGTGCCAGGGATGCATTGCAAGCAGAGGGCATGCCGGCTTTGCAACAAACATGCTCATGGTGTGTGTTTGTGTGTGCGCGCGCGTGCATGCGTGCGTGCGTGCGTGTGTGCGTGCGTGTGCGTGCGTGCGTGTCTGTGTGTGTGTGTGCGCGCGCGCGCACGTGAGCGTGCGTGTGTGTTTATGTGAGTGAGTGTGGTATGGAGTGATCTAACATTCCATATGGATGGTAGCATCTGCGTGAAACCATGCCATGTGGGGCGAGGGAGGCAGGGTGAGGATTTAAGCAAGCACACGCGCAGCATGGACAACAGGGGGTTGGGGGGGACAAGCATGAAGGCGCTTGCCGGAACAGCATAGCCTCGACTGAAGGGTGGAGGGCGGTGAAGGCTGTGATGTCCGAAGGCAATGTCCCAAACGCGAACGGTACATCTGGATCCCCGCCGATCCTGCATGGCATGGCATGGCATGGCAGCAGCAGGTGGAGGGGATTTCTGTTGCACGGAGACTTGGAACGGATAGAGCTGCATGCACGCGTGCACTCTGCCTGAGGTTGCAAGGTTTCACGCTCATGTGGACACATCACAAACAAGTGCACACACACACACATGGGAACTCCAGGGTTTGCACCACTCCGGGGCCTCACCCAACATATCCACCACCTCTTGCCCTGACATCTCTACCGTGCTCCTTACCCCCGCCACTCCCATCACACCTTTATCTTCCATATCCCGCATCTTCCGACCCACCTTCATCCCCACCCACCTTCAAGGAAGAAACGTGCATTACAAACTCATCCCTTCATCCCTACCACTCCCTCCCGCCCTTCCCCATCCGCCGGGGAGCACAACATCATCCCAGGGCAGGCAGGCAGAGCTCACAAGTCAGTGATCATGCCGTGCGCGTCACACGCCACGGTGAGGTCGATATTGCTGTTCCACGCGTCGCACCACGCCTTGGCGGACGTGCCGTTCTCCTCCGCCCACTCCCACGCCTGCCACTCCCGCTCCAGCGCCAGCAGCGCTTGCACTGCCAGGCCCGGAGGGGTGCGGGGAAGGCACGGGGGCAACGAAGGAGGAGACAAGTGGGGAGGGGAGGTGAGTCTGGGAGGCGGCAGCAACAGCAGCACCGCGTGGGACGCTCATGCACTGGGCAACTAAGCCGTGCGACTGAGGCTGCGTGACATTGCATCCCCTTGTTTTGCTGGAATGGACTCACTTCACTCCACAAACAGACGTGGCTCCTGGTTGAGAGTACGCAGGAGCTTAAGCAGGAACGGCACACGTCGAAAGCGCCGTGCTGGAAAGCTGCTACCGTGTATCCCCGCAGCTGGTCGTACCTGGTGAGCTGGCAAGGGCCAAGGAGTCGTCCTCACACTGCGAGGCTCAGGCGACAGTTTCGGCCCTCCAACTGCCTACTGGAATCTGATACGCGCTGTGCCCATATAGACGGCTCCTAAGACGCCTCGGAAGGCCCTTTGTGCAACGATAGTACGTCACGTATTCGACGGCCTGGTACTATCATAGTAGTGCCGGAGTGCCGTGAGGGCACGGCTGTCTGTCGCTGAGTCGGACTCACACTGTGAGGGCGCGAGCTTGACGCGCTCCTCCTGGTCTCGTTCTGTCGACGCAGATTCAAGTTGGCGACGCGCGACGGACGGACGACGGCCCGCCGCGACGAGCGCCGCCGGCGGCGACGAAGCTCGCGACGGGCCGCGGCGCGATGGGCCGTTGGTTGCGAGAATGCTGCTAGTGCGGCCGCCTCGAAGAGTGGTGGTGGTGGTGGTAGGGGCAGTGACAGTGGTACCACTGGCTGTGAAGGGAGAGAGAAGCACGAGGAGCAGGAGCATGATGCAGCGCATATAGCGGTGTGCGTGGCGAGGGGCCATCGTTAGTGGCGAGTTCCGCGACATGTTCAATGCTGGAGAGCGAAAGCCGAAAGGAAGGATTATGCAGTGCGAAAGTTGCACGTTGGTCGCAGATCCCGCGAGTCGCGGCTGGGAAAGATGGAGAAGGGAGCAGAACGAGAGGGAATTTTTGTGTGACCTACATCTGCTTCTGACTTTTAGTTGTTGGGTTGGGTCTTTGGGCATTAGGGTTCGTTGGTATGCAATTGACTTCTGAAAGGTTCATTTGGTTAGAGCGGTCCGAAGCGGTCAAAACAAAAACTGTCCCAAAACGTTTTTTTTTTTTTTTTTTTGAACGAGTTTGCATTATAACCATGCTAATACATTCACAGTCGTAACTGGATTCTGGAGGGAAACGATACAACCTAGCCGGAGCTCAGGTGCCCCCCCCCTGACCGTGTCTACGGTGGTCGGTAGAAAGTCTTGGGGTTTTGCCATATGGATAAGAAGTCCGCCTTCCACGTGGCCTGCTCCCCCACCTCACAGATCCTCGCAATCACCACCTTCTCGTCACATGCCAGGCCACCCCATGGGTCACGTGGCTGCCCCCCGACATTCCCCATTGCTGCCTTCCTCAGCTTCCCCGCCCTGTAAACCCTCGCATGGCGCATGAAATCGTAGATAGCCGCCCGTGCCACTTTCCTTTTCTGGAACTTCTCCTTCCGGTACACCGCATCCACCCTGGCCAACCAGATCCTTCTCATCGTCACCGCTGTCAGGGTCGCCCCCGGAAAACCGGACTTTGTGACCCCCTCCTGAAATAGCATGTCGCCTAGCGACCTCGTCTGATCTGGGTCCATGATCTGCAGCGAACTCAACAGCGCGCCAATCACCGGCTGGATGACCGGGCAGGTGAGCATACAGTGAACTAGGGTTTCATGCTCTCCGCAGTGCGGGCAGCAGCCCCTGGGCCCCAAGAAAATCAGTCTTTCCCCCACCTGTAGGTTCTTGCTGTGGATCCTCAGTACCACATCTCGCGCTCTGTAAGGGATTGCCAGGGAGTCTCTCCTTTCCCTGACTGCTTTCCAATCGATTCTCTTCCCCCACTCCTCTTCCCACTCGTGTCTGCGCCTCGATGCCGTTGTTGGTCCCGCCAGCGCCCTCCTAATCTCCTTAAGTGCAGCTGGCTTCAAGTTTTCATCCACCAGCGAGGTCTGACACAGCTTGGCCCTCGGCTCGCCCATGGCGCCGAGTACTCTTCCTCTCTTGACTGCCACTGGCGCCACACCCTTGACTGGGAAATCGACTGCGTAAGGTCTTAGCAGCGCGACCAGGTTTACGCCGTCTGAGCAGTCCAAGTGATCTGTTGCCACCACCCCATCTTTGACTCCACGCACCGTCCAGTAAAGGAACTCTTGCGTGCGCGTCAGCACCGTACGTATTACCCTTGCCGCTGCCACTACTGCCTCCGCTGACCTTGGCGCCTCTAGCATGAGCTTCCACCCCGCCGGGATTGCTTCGTATGCTTTCTTGGCCCACCTTGCAGTCGCCACACTCCCAAACTCTTCCAACAGAGTCCTAACCTCCTTGATACCTCTGCTCCCGTCCTCTCTGGTGATGAGCAGGTCACCGATCTTGACTGTCCTGATCCCCACCGCCCCCTGCCGGTTCCCGAAGGGACTGTCTCCTCGGAACATGATGCGCCTGTTGAAGCAGAGCTGCTCCTTCTCCACTTCCCAGGCGTTCGATGGCTCCGGGAGATCTGCGAAGGGGGATTCCCAAAACACCTCTGCTATCGCCTTCCATCTCCGGCTTCCTTTGTCCCAGTGTCTGCCGGCTGACTTGTGGGCGAAGAAGGTCGCCACCCCCTGTGGCAGCGCCGCTGCCTTCTCCGTCGACCATCGCTTTGTGACATCCTGTTCCGTCAGAAATTTGCCCACCTAGCGGATAGCCAGGCTGTCAAGCCGCTCCTTTGGGTCGATTAGCCCCAGACCCCCTTCTTTCTTTGGTAATCGGGCCAGCTCTCCGCTCCAGAGGACAAAAATCTTTTCTGCCGTTGCCTCCCCTTTTGAGATGTAGTTGTCATAGGTTTTACGGATTTTCCCCCATAACTCCTCTGGCGGCGGGTAAATCTGTGCCTGAAAGAGTAGTATCGGCATGATGTAGTTACTGATGACTGTAACTCTCACCGCCGTCAGCAGGTGTTGGCTCTCCCACTTCGCCAACTCCTTCCTCCCCCTCTCCCATGCCTTTTCCAAGGAGGGCGCAGGGTCTCCGTCTGGCGTCACCCAAACGCCGAGCAGCCGCTCCGGGACTCCGGCCTCCGCCCATTTGAAAGTAATGCCCGGCAGCGACGTTCTACCTTTGTTTCTCCCCATCGGCATGACTATCGACTTGTCTCTGTTGATGCGCAGGCCGGACAGCTCTCCGAACCAGTCCAGAGCTTCTGCCGCTGAGTGCAGTTGCGCCTCTCCATGGAGGATCAATGAAGTATCGTCCGCGTATCCCACGTATGACGTCGCGTCACCGCCATCCGCTCTGACTCCCAGGTCCCGCCTCTTGATCTCAGCACAGAGCAGCTCCAGAGCGCAGAGAAAAAGGTAAGGCGCTAGAGGGCAACCTTGCCTTACTCCTCTCTGCATCTCCACCCGTTCGCCTGACTAGCCATTTATTGCCATTCTCGTCTTGGCCCCCGCGTGCAGGCCTTCCGCCCATTTAACGAACTGCGCCGGCAAACCGAGCTTCTCCAAGGTTTTGAAAAGGAAAGGTCACGACACAGTGTCGTAGGCCTTCTGAAAATCGACCAACAGGAGGTACCAGTCATCTCCATAATTGTCGGCTGCCTCAATCGCATCGGCCACCACCGCGACCGCATCCGCCAGGCTGCGACCCGGTATGAAGCCATGCTGTTCTTTCGAAATTATGTGATGTAACTCCTGCTTCAGTCTGTTCGCCAACACCTTCGCCAGGACCTTGTACACCGTTGTGAGGAGCGTGATCGGCCTGTAGTTTGACAACAGGTCTTTTTCCCCCTTCTTGTGCAGCAAGACCGTCACCGCCGTCGTCAGCGACTCTGGCAGTTTCACCGTTGATTCAAACCCTCTGACGAACTTCATGAAGCTATCCCCCAACAGGTCCCAATGGGTCTTGAAGAGCTCAGCAGGGAGACCATCTTGCCCCGGCGATTTACCCTTCGGCAATCCCGCGAGCGCCGCTTTGACCTCCGGCTCCGACCACGGGGCCCCAAGCCTTAAAACCGCCTGGCAACACTCGGTCCACCTTGAAATCATCACGCATCGCCTGCGGTCCCGCTTGTGCCTCCATGAAGGCCTCCGCAAAGTGCGCCGACGCCGCCTTAAGCACCGCTTGTGACCCTCTGCAAAGCTCCCCCTTATACCGCACCTCCTCAATCAAGGTACGTTCTTTCCTCATTCTGACCTTGGCCGACAGGTAGGGGGATGGGATCTTCCCTTGTAGCTCTGCTGTCAGGCCCGCAAAAACCTCCAGCCTCTCTCGTTCGTGCTCTCGATAGGCCTCCAGCTGCTCTTCTCTGGTCAGTAGCAGCGCCTTTGTCTTGTCATCCGACGGCACCCCCATGACCAGGTGCCGTATCCGCTCCACTTCCTCCGTAGGGTGCAGCTGCGTCACCGCCACCCGTTTCCTTTCTTCCTTCTCATACGCACCGGCGACCGCGCGGGTGAGCAGTGCGGGGGTGCGCACTCCACCCAGCGCTGCTTTGGCCGCCTGACGGACGCTTGGTGTCACCAGTTCCCTGAGGCCACTGAGATCCCCCGCTGGGGCGAGCTGTCTAGGGCGGGTGTAGCTGTCTTTGACCTTGACTTTGATGCTATTCTTGCTGCCATGTATGCTGTGACTATTAGTGATGAGGGTGACTGTTACCGGTGTTTTCCGCCCGACCCGGGCATTGAGACTGCTGCTCTAGGTACTGGTGAGGCTGCTGCTCTAGGTGCTAGCGAGGCTGCTGCTCTAGGTGCTCGTGCGTCTGCTCCCTCAGGTGCTGGTGAGTCTGCTCTCTCAGGTACTGCGTCGGCTTCGGCCTCCCACACCTTCACCCTTGACTCGGGGGCTTCTCGCTCCTTCTTTCGAGACCGCACCACACTCACGCCGCTTGGCCGGCCAGTTGCAGTCTCTCTGGCAGACCCCTCTGGGGGTCCTGTCCTTGCTCACTTCTCCACTGTCCTCCCGTGTCCGGCGGCCCCCTTTGGCACCCTGTCTGGTCTTTACCTCCCCTCGTTCTCTACGAACTTGGTGAGTGGTGCTGACCTACAGGATGCGGGGGTTCACCAGTTCACTCCTGCGAGTCAGCGGGTGACCCACTGCACGGACGCTCGGACAGGCCGACACCTGGCCACGTTTACACGTCTGCCGGGTTCGAGCCTGTACACACTGACCACTGCGTCTCCTCCAGTCACTGCGTCTGGTCAGGTAGCTGCGTCGGGTCAGGTGTTTGCTGCAGCGTCCAGGTCTGGTCCTGAGTCTGCCCCCTGTTCGTGTCGCCTCCTGTCGCACGAGACTCTCCTCTGGCACCACCGCCTTGGTCACCCCTCCCTGCTTCATCTCCGAGGCATGGCCTCCCGTGACGCGCCAGGGTGGCAGTTCTACCACCCCACCTCTCGCCGTGTTCTGTCCTCCCAGGACGTCACGTTTGACGAGTCGGTCCCCTACTACCGCCTCTTCCCCTACCGCACTCCGTCCCTCCCCCCGCCACCGCTCTTCCTTGTGCCAGGTCCCCCCCCGGTAGACCCCCTCCCCCCTCAGGGTCCTGCCCCTTCAGGTGTGTCCCAGGTAGACGCCGTCGAGCCTGTCGAGGTTACTGGTGACTCTGGTGCTGCTGAGGGTGCTGAGCCTGGGGGTGCTGACTCTGGGGGTGCTGAGCGTGTGGGTGCTACGCCTGGGGGTGCTGAGCCTGAGGGTGCTACTCCTGGGCACGATTTGACCAAGTATTCACGACACAGCGTCGGTTTGAATGAACGGCCCTATGGCAGCCACTATAGTCTTAAAACACAAATTAGGAAGAGTTACGAGTTGGGAATGACTCCCAGCTC